AGGATTTCAGTCCGTGTCCCCATGCATAACCTCTGTCTGGTATTTGTGTTGATCTTGGACACTTGTTGGTCATGAGCAAGGAGCTGAGCCGTGCCCTGGATTCAGACTTGGGACTCAGAATCCCCAACCCCCTGGGTCCCTCAAGATAAGGTCCCACTTCTCTTGAGACCTCTGGTCCCGAAGCCTGTGAGTTTAGCCCGCTCGGCACTGGATGCAAATCTCACTGGTTTTCATAGGGACTTGCTCACAGGGTGGCATGTGTAGAATGGTAGCGGTGGGGCATCGTCCTCCATATGTTTACACAAAAATTAATCCTCCTGTGTTAAGTGGCACTTGCAGACATTGAGGTGGGGAGTGGAGTGCAGCTTTGTGGCTTGAAACGGCATTCCAGATGCAGATTATGGATTCCGCAAAGGCTTGTAAAATGTACTTTGCCATTGTCTTCTACCCAACAGGTTGGCTTGCTACAGAAATATGGATTCCTAAGTAAATGCAACTGTCCTCACCAGCAGCGTTGTCGAGTTGCTTAATAAAGGGAAGATGGAGGGATATCTTAAGCAAATCGTCTGCTAAGTATAGACATGTGCAGAAGGAGCTTAAAATGCATGCGGTTGGCTATGCCTCAAAAAAACAAACAGGAGAAAAAAAATGAAACAAAATGGAGAACAAATTGCACGATGTTTTCCGGCCTTGCTAGAAACATGGTGTAGTAGAGCCAATAACCGGAACCACGCCATGGATTCGCAAATGTATGCGTGATTCATCTTCCCAGCGTAACGTGGCGAATTTACATGGGGAACGTTAATTAGTTGGGAATTCACTTGTCTTTTCTGCAGTGGGGTGGCCAGCTTCTGAACACCAGTTCCCTCCTGGTGTGCTTGCCGAGTGTTAGGGAGGAAAAAGCAGGTGGGAGGAACCTACTTTTCTCCCCTGGTTCGTTTTATGCGAAGCTGTGCCCGACCTGTATGCTTAAATGGGGACAATCGCATCACACATGCAAGGCAGGATATATATATATATTGGTAGATTTCTTGCCCTGATTTTCGAACTGGATGTTAACATGTATTAAGTTATGCAATCTGTAATTCTCCCAGTTTTATGGAGGCACTCGGTAAATATGAATTAATCCCCCAAAGTGCGGCTTGGAAGGAAGGCAAGAGAGGGCTGATTTTGCAAATGGACCGGGAAGGCCAAAGAAGGGGCTTTGTGAGCAGTTGGT